CTGGAATCAGGAATGGGGTTGGGGGTTTGTTCTGTGCGCCTTCCCCCTGCTGCGGCAAAGCCCCCCCAAGGCGGCCCCGACAAACTTTACACCACGGAGAGGCCACAGCCTGCGGACAAAGGCCGCCACGCGCGCGCTCCGGCAGGGGGCTTAAAAGCCCCCACCCCCCTTCCGAGGGGCGATGCCGCTTGGAAATGGCGAATCGACGACCCACTTTGCGTTGCAAATGCGGGGCGCCGAATGCGGCACACCGATTGGCGCAGAAGCCCCACACGGGATACAACAAAATACGAAGACTGAATATCGCCCGAATGGGCAGCGCGGGCCACTGGCGATAGCAGCCGCCACACCGCCACCTACGGCGCCCAGGCGGGAAGCGACGGCATCCCAATAGAAGCCCCGTGGGCCTGCAAGGCCCCACTCGTATGGAAGAAAAAAAACCGGCCGAAGTTCCGCAGACTGACCAACCCAAAGCTGTATGCTACGAAAAGGCACATGCAACACAGACACCATAGAAAAGCAGACCGTCTCCCGGGGTACGGCTCGCAAACTGAGGGGAAAGTGGTGTGGGGAAATCGTGGCCAACCTCGGTTCTGGACGCCTGGGCTCGCGGGCTTGGGCAAGCCTATCACCAACAAACCCCACGCCCAGCCTAGCCAGCGGGACAAAATCCGACGCAGAAACCCCATCGCGCGGCATTCCGAAGCGATGGCGCGCGCCCCGCCCGAACCCCCAGGAGCCCGAGAGCGACAACAGACAGTTTGCCGGGCGAGAGCCCGCACACCGCCCGCACACTGCCCGCCCAGCAAACCAGCCGCCAAAGCAGACGGGGTGGCGCCCCCTAATGCCCTTATGGTGAACAACCTGGCCCGACCACATGCCGCAAGGGCGGGGGGACGCCCGCGCCCTTAACACCAACCACGGCGATAACAAGGGGCGGTTCAGCCAATAACAGCGGCTGGGCTTGATCCCGCCCTGCGCTTCCTTCGGCTGGGGCCATCACCGGGGTCCGGCGCGATACTTGGAGAAGCGCTACGGTACCCCTGGCAGTGTGCAAAACACTCTGCCCCAAAGCCCTTCAATAGCAGCTTGTGCGCCGGCGTAGTTCCGCAGAACAAGGGACGCAGCATTGTTATTCAGATTTCAAATCCGGGCAACAAAACGACACCACTAGAACCATGGAGGCAAACAAACGCTGGCAGTCCGACTCCGCAAGCCCATGAAGCGCACTATAGCAGCACGCATTTTTAATGCTGTAGAGCACGCGCTAATGCCGTATAAGTCACAATTCCGAGAAGCACACCCCACTCAGGACCAGTTGTTGCATCTTCAAGAGTTCATGTGCTTACTGACTCCTTGAGAATGAAGAGCAGCAGTATTTGTAGACTGTGCCAAATCATTCGATCCGGTAGGTAGCGATAAAATGGTACTCAGCATGTGACAGCCCTCGATAACACAACAGGTGACGCTTTGCTTGGTACCCTTGGCGTGAAATAGAATAACGGCGACTCACGGAAACAAGGTGCACGCCTTCTATGTGACTCTCAGAAGGGCATTTTCTCAAAGCACGGTTCTCGGGCCGCTCATCTTCAATACTGTGATGAACTTTTTCAGCATCAGATTGGCTGAGATTCTGCTACTACAGCACGACTTCGTTGCGGACGACCTTGCCTCCATTGCCAGCCAAAGCAATCACGAGACTACAGCGGCTATACTGCAACAGGGGCTAAACATGGTAGCATTTTAGACGAAGCAATACTTCATGGGAGCCGATGGGACCCAAGCGCCGCACACTCTCTTTGGAACGAAACGCACGAATCCACACGGTTCCCCCTACAATAATAAACTGGTGACTATGGAAAGCTTCCCGACTTTGCTGGGAACCACTTTCCAGAGCCACCGTGGAAAGGGCCCCTATGCAGCAGATGCGCAGAAACGAGCAAGCCACCGCCTCACGAAGCTAGCGGCCGTCTCGTCTTGGAGCTGGGGGTCAAAGGGAGATGCATTGTGCGCGTTATACTTAGCAATTGCTAAGGCCAAAGCGATGTACAGCATAGGAGTGTGGCGCCGGGACGCATCCCCCACCTCACGGTCAGCACCTGATTCTGGGAAACGCAAAGCCTGCAAAACAATTGCTGGCATTCCATAACGCAGCCACGCTAAGGACCCACTGCCCGAGGTCAGCCTGTAACCACCAAG